CTTCGCCCGATTCCGCAGCACAGCGTTTCGACATCGGTATTAAGGAGCGTCCTCCGGGCTCACGCAGGTGCTGGACTCGCGAACTTTTCCCACACCTTCATGTTCTCTCTCCCTCTCTCCCTCTGCACCCTCTCCTTTGCGTCTCTCGTTTTCATATTTTCTTTCTCTTTCCTTATGTCTGCTTCTTGTCTCTTCAGCCGTATTGCTTTTATCCCTCCTTCCATTATTCCTACATTCTCTCCCTCTCTCTCTGTAAGAAGTCTAGGTTGTTACTAGTTTAGTGGGAACAATGATAGAGTTGTACTGATGTGACTTTTAGTTGGTGTTATTGAGTACACTGGGTACAGCACAGATAAATGAGACTGGAACCAACACCTGAGTGGTGGCTTGACTAGGCCCAGCCTAGTCAAGCCTACCCTGAGCGGGTCGTCTTGTGACGTGGTGACCTCGTTTCCTATTCTAGCCAAAGTCTATATAAGTATGCAGACCTTGATTTTAGATAGAGGTCACTAACGTCGGTCTTTCGACGATGTCATCACAGCTGCAGGCATGACTAGTGCCCACGTGGTACCTGGCAGAACGTTCTAGGGTGGCTAGGGTCCGAGTTGCCATCTTGAAATAAAATATATGCATTTGTCGGCTGTATGCCCGTCATACTCTCTCTCTCCCTCCCTCTCCCATTCTCTCTCTCTCGCTCCCTCCGTCCCTCCTCCGTCCCCCGATCCTCCTGCTCCCTCTCACTCTAACTCAATCTCTCTTTCTTTCTCTGTCTGCCTCCATTCCTATTTCTCCTTCTGTCTATCTGTAATACTTATCAGCAATTCTTTGAAAAAAAAAACCTATCTCAGCTATATAATCCCTTTTTCCAGCTTTTTTATTCATATTTTTCATCGCTACATAGCATATTAACCCCTATGAACTCTCGAGGACTTCGACATCCGTGTCAACAGCACATACTGATCCGTGCTGAATCCGTCTTAATCTTGCAACGACATAACGTGCTTATGTGATCTTGTCTATTAAATAGGACTTGGATGTGATGTGTCCTCAAAGCTCAATTTCAACTCTAGCATAAAATTTCCAGAAGTTAAACAGACCAAACTCAACAGGAAGAAC